TTCTAAATCCAGTTTGAACACCTGGAAGTCTTCAGTTCACATACTGTTGAAGCCTGGCTTGGAGAATTTTGAGCATTACTTTACTATACTGTGAGATGAGTGTACTTGTGTGGCAGTCTGAACATTCTTTGGCATTGCCTTTCTTTGTGATTGGAAGGAAAACAGACTTTTTCCAGTCCTGTGGCCACTGCTGAGTTTTCCAAATTTATTGGCATATTGAGTGCATCACTTTCACAACATCATGTTTTATATGAAATAGTATTTGAAATAGCTCAACTGGAATGCCATCACCTCCACTAGCTTTGTTCATAGTGATGCTTCCTAAGGCCCACTTTGCATTCCAAATGTCTGGCCCTAGTTCAGTGATCACACCATCATGATAATCTGGGTTGTGAAGATCTTTTTTGTATAGTTCTGTGTATTCTTGCCACCTATTCTTAATGTCTTCTGCTTTTGTTAGGTCCACACCATTTCTGTCCTTTATTGTGCTTGTCTTTGCATGAAAAGTTCCCTTGATATCTCTAATTTTCTTGAAGAGATCTCTAGTCTTTCCCATTCTACTGTTTTCTTCTATTTCTTTGCATTGATCGCAGAGGAAGGCTTTCTTGGCTCTCCTTGCTATTCTCTGGAACTCTGCATTCAGATGGATATATCTTTCCTTTTCTCCTTTGCCTTTCGCTTCTCTTCTTTTCTCAGCTATTTGTAAGGCCTCCTCAGACAACCATTTTGCCTTTTTGCATTTCTTTTTCTTGGGGATGGTCTTGATCACAGCCTCCTGTACAATGTCATGAACCTCCATCCATAGTTCTTCAGGCACTCTATCAGATCTAATTCCTTGAATCTATTTCTCACTTCCACTGTATAATCATAAAGGATTTGATTTATGTCATACCTGAATGGTCTCGTGGTTTTCCCTACTTCCTCCAATTTAAGTCTGGATTTGGCCATAAGGAGTTCATGGTCTGAGCCACAGAGGAGCTTCCTAATTCCCACAAGCCTGAAACCAACAGGAGTACCCTCTGTGCCACCTTAAAGCACAGCTGCCACTGGAACGGCAGAGCTACCTGAGAAGTATCCCAGGTCAGTGATGCCCCCACTTTCCAAGGATGTGCTCACCTGTAGCTAGCGAGGCCAGAGCCCACGTGCCTTGACTTCCAGCTTGTTGCTTGTTCATCCATCACTATTATTGTTAGCTCTTCCATTTACATCTAGTGGCTTGAAGATTTGCCCCGGGACAGCTCTCCCATCTCATCGGGTGTTGCCACAATTTTTTCTTTTTCCCCTGCAGCCAATGTTTCTCGTAAAACAAGTATAAAATGAATGACAGGAAGTACTCCATCGTGACAGGCACCTTCTGTTTCCTCAACACTGTCCAGTTCCTCATCTTTGAAGTGAATGAGTTTGCCTTCTTTGGCTACGAAGAGACGTTCAGTGTCTACCAGGAGACCAAGTCTGAGCTGGTCTCTTGGGTTGTGACCCACAAGAAGAGCATCAGCGTCGGCCTGTCCACCGTCACCCTTCTGGTCTGCTCCTTGCTCCTCTACTGCGTCCACGCCAAGAACTACGTGGGCATGCTCTGCTACAGCGTGTGGATTATCATCTATGAGCTGCTCAGCCTCTCCATCATCCTGCTCGCCAACAGGGCCATCAAAGAGCAGTTCAAGGAGCTGAGGTACCTGCGCTTGATCTTCCAGATCTCGCGGATGCTGCTGCACTTGTTCTGCCTGCCCTTCGTCACCAAGTATGGATACTCCATCTTCAAGGACCCCAGGGCTGTAAGCAAGATTGGCCAACGCAGACGCTCTAGCATCAGTACCGTTGAGTCGTGGCCACCCGTCAGGATGGGAAGCTTGTACTACAAGATGAACTGAACCATGCCAGGAAGAAGGAGGTGAGGGCAACAGCACCCCCCAGGGATGGCTCCCACTTCCCTGCCTGCCTTGGGTTGATTCTGCTTACCTTTTCAGGGTTCTTGAGTTTTAAGTGCTTCAGAATGGCCTTTGGGGGTGGGGATGGGGGAAGGGAGGATTGCATGGATCAATTATCATACATGTGTGTGTTTGTGACTTGTTTTAGCATTTAATTGTGGACTGCCTTTGTGTTTATTTAAGCATCTCTTTGGTGTATGCTGTGGTCTCTCTCGGTACCCTGCTCTCTGCACATCCGAAGTTTCTAACTTTTCTCTTGTGGATTGCCCCACTGATGCCTAGTTCTGCTGAGTCCTTTATGAGCAGTGCTGCTCGAGAGAAAAATCTGTGCTGATGGGACTGTTGGATATCAATGCTGACAACCGGTCACATGTGGTTATTGAGCACTGGGACATGGCTATTGAAATCCAGGAATCAAGTTTAAAATTTTATTCCACTTCAGTTAGTTTCCATTGCAAGAGCCATATGTGACTGGCTGGTGGCCACCATATCAGAGATTTTCAGTAATCTGCAGCCTCATTGTACTCCTGAGTATTACCGTAGACCCCCTTTCCCGCTTCATGCATCACTCTGCTTTCCTCATGATGTTCAAAAAGCAGTTCCTCATGTTGGTTCATAAAATGGCAAGAAGAATCCCCATTTAAGCAAGTTCCATGATTTCTCAACCAAAGCACTATTGACATCTTGGCCTGGATAATTCTGTCTCATAGAGGGCTGTCCTGTGCGTCGTAGGATGTCTAGCAGCCTCCCTAGCCTCCACCCACTAGATGCCAGAAGCATCCCCCAGCCTTGGGACAAACAGAAATATCACCAGGCAATCCCGAATATTCTCTGGTGAGGGGCAAAACTGCCCCCAGTTGGCAACAACTGTTTTCAAGAAATGTACCCCAAGCCCACTGAGAGCTTAAGCCACTACTCTAATGGAGAGCATCTTTTACTGAGAGCTCTTTACCTTCACCACTGTGTATAATTTTAACCCTAATGTTCCCATTTTATGACTTGATGAAATTTGAGACTCAGCACTTAACTGATACGATCAAGATCATACAGTATCAAAGCTCAGCATTTGAATCTAGATCTTGTAACTTCTCGCGGAAATGTCCTACTCCGTTCCCTGAAGTACTCTTCAGTTTCCGTCCAGTCGCTCAGTCGTGTCCAACTCTTTGCAACCACGCAGACCGCAGCACGCCAGGCCTCCCTGTCCATCACCAACTCCTGGAGTTTACTCAAACTCGTGTTCATTCAGTTGGTGATGCCATTCAACCATCTCATCTTCTGTTGTCCCCTTCTCTTCCTGCCTTCAATCTTTCCCAGCATCAGGGTCTTCTCAGATGAGTCAGTTCTTCACATCAGCTGGCTGAAGTATTGGAGTTTCAGCTTCAGCATCAGTCCTTCCAATGAACACCCAGGACTGATCTCCTTTAGGCTGGACTGGTTGGATCTCCTTGCAGTCTAAGGGACTCTCAAGAGTCTTTTCTAACACCACAGTTCAAAAGCATCAGTTCTTCGGCGCTCAGCTTTCTTTATAGTCCAACTCTCACATCCATACATGACTACTGGAAAAACTATAGCTTTGACTAGATGGACCTTTGTTGGCAAAGTAATGTCTCTGCTTTTTAATATGCTGTCTAGGTTGGTCATAACTTTTCCAAGGAGCAAGTGTCTTTTAATTTCATGGCTGCAGTCACCATCTGCAGTGATTTTGGAGCCCAAAAAAATAAAGTCAGTCACTGTTTCCACTGTTTCCCCCACCTATTTGCCATGAAGTGATGGGACCAGATGCCATGATCTTAGTTTTCTGAATGTTGAGCTTTAAGCCAATTTCTTCACTCTCCTTTTTCACTTTCATCAAGAGGCTCTTTAGTTCTTCTTTGCTTTCTGCCATAAGGGTGGTGTCATCTGCATACCTGAGGTTATTGATATTTCTCCAGGCAGTCTTGATTCTGGCTTGTGCTTCATCCAGCTCAGAGTTTCTCATAATATACTCTGCATATAAGTTTAATAAGCAGGGTGACAATATACAGCTTTGACGTACTCCTTTCCCTCTTCAGAACCAGTCTGTTGTTCCATGTCCAGTTCTAATTGTTTCTTCTTTCTTACCAAGCTAAAAGGGGGCTCTCCTTTTAGAATAATTCCTTTTCCTTCCAAAAATGTTGGAAGTGAAGTTGGGGACACTGTTTTGACCACACTCCTCCAAACCGACGGCAGCCCACTTTTACTGAACACAGTTTGTGCCTGGTAGTATTTAAACAACTCGCTCAGTTCTTCCAACCACCCTGTGCACAGATTTAGACCCAGGCCAGGTCCCAGAAGGGTTTCCCAGGTGGCACTAGTGGTAAAGAACTCACCTGCCAATGCAGGAGAGGCAAGAGATGTGGGTTCGATCCCTAGGTTGAGAAGATCCCCTGGAGGAGGACACAGCAACCCACTCTAGTATTCTTGCCTGGAGAATCCCATGAACAGAGAAGCCTGGTGGGCTACAGTCTCATGGGGTCGCAAAGAATAGGACACGACTGAAGCGATAGAGGGAAACAACAGAATGGGAAAGACTAGAGATCTCTTCAAGAAAATTAGACATATCAAGGGAAAATTTCAGGCAGAGATGGGTCCGATAAAGGACAGAAATGGTATGGACCTAACAGAAGCAGAAGGTATTAAGAAGAGGTGGCAAGAATACACAAAAGAACTCTACAAAAAAGATCTTCACGACCCAGATAATCACAATGGTGATTCACCTAGAGCCAGACATCCTGGAATGTGAAGTCAAGTGGGCCTTAGGAANCAAACTCATGGTGGGCCTTCTTGGTGAGGAGAGGAGAGTCTCAGAGGTGACGTCACCGGCTTCCAGACCCTGACCCAGTCACAGGGGTTTGATGAGTGACATTCCAGGGAGGGAAGCACTTTCTCAAGGTCAAGGCTGCCTGGAGCTAAGCCATATCCACTGAGAAGAAGTGAGCTCCCATCGCCAGAGCTGCACAAAGAGCTGCTTGCCTGGCTCTTTTCCACTCCTCCGCTGGTCAAACCCAGCCCTTCCCACCTGGGTCTTGTGCAGTTTGGGCATTATCAAGTCTCACAGTCCTTGTGGCAGGCAGCATGGTGGGGAGTAGGCCACTCCCCCCGATATTGGTGATCTGGGCAACGTCTTATCACTGCACAAGTGCAAGGAGACCTAACGGTTTCAGGGGCCTCAAGAAGAAGATTACTCCCAGAAATGCCTGTGCTGACAGGCCCTGTGAGATGCCCATGTTACTATCCTGGCAGGAGCCCTGGTGAGGACTCAGCCACTACCCCAGGGACTGAGTCCTCATCTCATCGGCCCTGGACCATCCTCTGGGTCCCCACCCTACCCTGCCATCGGGTACTCACCCCTTGGAACGTCAAGAAGAGAACATGGACTTCTAGGGTGGCATCGGGGATCTGAGCCACACAGCCCTCAGAAACCTGGCTCATTTCATATGTCACCTTGGAGTCCACAGGCTGTAGGTCACAGTAGAATGTTTCTGCAAGACCTGTGGGAAATCACAGGGGGAGAGAGGGACAAGTTAAGAACAAGGTGGTGACAACTGCTCTCACTTTCTGAATGCCTACTGGGTGCGTGGCACTGTTTAAGGTCTTTATTGCATTTTCACAGCTACTTTACAAGGGGTGTGTGTGTGTGTGTGTGTGTGTGTGTGTGTGTGTGTGTAGAAGTGGTGGAGCAAGAAGCAGAGTTCTAAGAATCAGCTCAACTAAGAGTCACCTGCTGCCTCAGCTACAAGGCTGTGTTCCCCCTTGACACCAAGGATCCTTGGAAAGTGTTGTGTCCATCTCCACTTCCCAGCCTCTGGTTCTCTCCGTAATCTTTTCCACTCCACCGTGACCACTCTTGTTCTTGTTTTTTAATCTTTATCTGTTTATTTGGCTGAGCCGGGTCTTAGTTGCAGCACGTGGGATCTTCCATCTTCGTTGCGGCATGCAGGATCTCAGTCGAGGCATGTGGATCTAGTTCCCTGACCAGGCCCCCTGCAGGGATTCTCAGCAACTGGACCACCAGGGAAGTCCTGAGACCACTCCTGTTCAGGTGACCTCCACACTAACCCTGTCCTGAGCTCAGCCTTCTCTTGCCAGATCTCTCCATGGCTTTTGACCAGCTGATCCCCCTCTGTCCTGCAAACAGGTCTCTCCCTTGCCCTATGAGACACCAGGGTCACCCCTACGTCCCTGGCCCTTCTTCTCCGTCTCCTTTGCTGGCCCCTCTGTACCTCCCTGACCTGCAATCATTGGCAAGCTCCCGGGCTCAGCCCTTGGTCCCCTTCTCTCCTCCATCTCAGCCATTCCTGCCTCTCCTTCTCCAGGCCCCTCGTAAGTAGCCTCCATACAGACATCTCTGGTCTGACCTCTCCCTGAAAAACGTACTCGTTGGTCCCGTTGCCTCCGTGCTGTGGCAGGTGCCCCTACGTGGTTCCCAAAGAGCCCTGCCAATTGATATTCACACTCATCACCTCCCCTTGAGTGCGAGCTGGACTAGCAACTCTCTTCTAACCAATCAAACACAGCAGAGGTGATAGGATGTCATCTCAAAGATTAGGTTACAAAACCGCGATGACCTCAGGGTGGTTCACTCTCTCCGAGGGAAGCCAGCTGCTGCACTGGGAGCATCTGGAGAGTCCAGCATGGTCAGGTAGGACATCGCTAACCAACAGCCCCCAGGGACCTGAATCCTAGCAACAACCTCCTAAGTGAGCTTGGCAGCAGACCCTCCCTTAGTTGAGTCTTGAGGGGGCCACAGCCCTGGCCAGACACCTCCACTGCAGGTGAGAGCCCCCAAGTCAGAAGACCTGTGCCATTTGCCCCTGGGTGTCTGATTCACAGAAACTGTGACAAAAATGTGTGTTCTCTTAAGCTGCTAAATTTGGGGGTAATTTGTTACCAAGCAATTGATTACTAATACAAGCGCCCAGGTGGCGCTAGTGGTAAAGAACCTGCCTACCAATGCAGGGGACATTAAGAGACTTGGGTTCGATCTCTGGGTCAGGAAGATTTCCTGGAGGAGGGCATGGTGACCCACTCCAGCATTCTTGCTTCGAGAATCCCAAAGACAGAGGAGCCTGGTAGGCTACAGTCCATGGGGTCACACAGAGTTGGACACGACTGAAGTGACTTAGCACACACGCACACACATCTCACAACCTGTCGAGGGCTTCCCTGGTATCTCAGGGGTAAAGAATCTGCCTGCCAATGCAGGAGACATGGGTTCCATCACTGATCTGGGAAGATCCTACATGCCTCAGAGCAACTAACCATCGAGCCTGTGCTCTAGAGCCTGGGAGCTGCAACCTCTGAGCCCATGTGCTGCCAACTACGAAGGCTTCGCACCCTAGAGTCCATGCTCTGCAACAAGAGAAACCAACTCAAGAAGTCCACGTGCTGTAACTAGGGAGTAGCCTCCACTCCCCACAACTAGAGAAAAGCCCACGCAGCAGTGAAGACCCAGCATAACCAAAAATAAATGAAAAGATGTCACAATCCGTACTGTGGTTTTCCCCCCAAAAGCTGCCTTAACTCCCAGTCTGTGTCACCTCCACTCTTCTAGTTGCTCAGGTCAAGGACTCAGGAATCATCCTTGGGTTCTCTCTCTCTCTCAGCCTTTATCCAACCCCTCAGCAAACCCTCCCAGCCCCACCTTCAATGTGCACTCAGATCCCACCGCTGCTCCTCACCTCCACTGGCACCGCCCCGGCCCAGGCTGGCACCGCCTTTTGCCCAGGTTATTGCAGTAGCAGCATCCTAACTGGTCTCTCTGACACCACTCTTGCTCCCTCTTCATCGGTTCTCCACCCAGCAGCCAGAGGGATCCTGTTGAAACCCAAAGCAGATCTACTCTGCTACTCCCATCCCGCCAGGGCCCCCTGCAATGCTCGAGGAAAACTCCTAAGTCGTCATCATAGAGTGTTGAGAGCTGAGTGATCCATTTCCCTGTCATCTGTCCGACCTCCTTCCTCACCACCCTTCTCTCCCTCCCTCTGCTCAGCTGCCCGGGCTGCCTTGCAGTTCCTCTTACGCACCCAGCACACTCCAGCCCCAGGACCTTTGCACCTGTCTCTCTTACTCAGGTGTCCACTGGCTTCCTTTCTTGTTTCTTTCGGGAGTCTGCTCCAAAGCCATCAGAGAGGTC